TGCAGGTCTGGTTACCTCGTGCTGTGAAACGACGGGATGGAGGACGGGACGCTGGTTAGCAAAGCTCTCTTCTTGGCTTTGGTTTACGAAGCACTTTGTGAGCCGTAGCACCAGGCTTGTGGAAACTTAGGAACAGAAACGTGGTACTGAGAAATTGGCAGGCAGTTCAAGGCCAGTTTACTTCCCTCTTTCGTTACCTTTCGAAAACCACATGAAACTCAGGCTCGTTGGGGCCCCGATCCCACGCTGAGGTGTGAAAGTTATCTGAAAAGCCTGTGGAACACGCACGGTTTTCTGTTTCTTTTTCTGGACTCCTCTGCACGCTGGTTTGAGTCCTTCGGCTTGATTGGCGCAGGCCTGTGGAGCCCTGGCACGTGTGAGGGAGCGACAAGCTGGAGGGGCCTGGAAGCCCATCCGCGAGCGGGATTCATTTCTCCTGCCGATGGCTCTCGTGCCGTGCTCTGGTTACCGTGACTTCCTAACGCAGCCCTGAGTCTGGGGGAAGTAGCTGGCTCCGCTTTCAATTCAAAAAATGGAAGTTTTAATCCTGCTTACTGTTCTTAGTGAAGTTGGAGAGTATCTGCTGTAAAAAGTTAAGAGGACTTTAAAACTCACAGGTTGACATGATCTGGTTATTTTTTCCTTGGATGGTTGAGTGATGTAGTTATTATTTTCCTTTGATTGGGTGTTGGAATGGGATATTACCTGTAGAATTTCTAGAGAAAGTTAAGACGAAATTAAAGAAGAAAAGTGTGTGTAATGCTTTTTAAAAACAATTTAATGCTTATTTATTTATTTATTTATTTAAATATGAAATTTATTGTCAAATTGGTTTCCATACAACACCCAGTGCTCATCCCCACAGGTGCCCTCCTCAATACCCATCACCCACTTTCCCCTCCCTTCCACCCCCCTTCAACCATCAGTTTATTTATTTTTGAGAGAGAGAAAGTGAGCGTGCGTGAGCGGGATAGGGGCAGAGAGAATCCCAAGCAGACTCCGTGCCCAGAGCAGTGCCTGGTGTGGGGCTTGATCCTGTGACCCTGGGATCATGACCTGAGCCGATATGAAGAGTCAGATGCTTAACCCCAGCATCCCTGGTGCCCCTGTAATGCTTTTTAAATCCGTTTTATTCACCCAGGGAATATTGAGGAGATGCCGAGTACTGGGTACCCACAGGTGCTTAGAGGAAAGAACACAGCCTCAGAGCCCTCGTTCAATCCAGTGGAGAAACACACCAAACTAGACAGTGAGACTCTTGCTGACAGGCTGTAATGGGAGTGTAAAATAGAGGGAGCCCCCAGATCGGCCTGGGGAATCTGGGGAGGCTTCCCAAAGGTGAGACACCTGAGGGGAGTGTAGGAGGATGCTGTGTAGGCAGTGGGAGGTGGAGAAGAGCAGGAGATGGGTTTTTAAAAAAATTATGATTTTAAATATAATACACATGCAGAAAAGTGCCAAAAAACAGGAATGCAGAGTTTAATGACTTATCACAATGTGATACCTGGATAGCCACCTACCAGGTCAGAAATAGAACAACTGCCAGTGGCCTGGCAGTGCCCTTGCTGTTTCCTCCTTTTCACCAATCACTCTCTCTGCTCACCAAAGGTCACCATGCATATGAATTTGTGGAGAATATGAAAGTTTAGGTTTGCCTGTTTCTGGGCTTCATATAATATATACTAAAAATATTTTTTTTTAATGTTTATTTATTTTTGAGAGAGTACAGAGACACAGAGCATGAGCAGGGGAGGGGCAGAGAGAGGAGACACAGAATCAGAAGCAGGCTCCAGGCTCTGAGCTGTCAGCACCGAGCCCAGCCCAGGCCTCGGACCCACAAACCATGAGATCATGACCCAAGCCTTAGTCGTATGCCCAATTGACTGAGCCACCCAAATGCCCCAATATATATATTTTTAAATTTGTTTATTTATTTTGAGAGATGGAGAGAAAGAGAGAGAGCAGGGGAGGGCAGAGAGAAGAGACAGAGAATCCCAAGCAGGTTCCGAGATGTCAGTGCAGAGCCCGATGCTGGGCTCAATCCGACGAACCGTGAGATCGTGACTTGAGCCAAAGTCAAGAGTCAGACACTCAACGGACTGAGCCACCCTGGACTTCATACAAATGCAAGCAGACAATGTATCATCTTCTGCATCTGGCTTCTTTGCTCAACTCTATGTTCCTGAGTGTTATGTATGTCTGTACTACAGTGTATTCACTGCTGGACATCTGGGAGGTTTTCCACTTTGAACCTCTGCGATAAAAAGTGCTTCTCCAAATGTTCTTTTATCCATCTCCTGAAACCCATGTGTATATATTTCTGTAACTTCTAGACCTAGCAGTGGAAACATGATCTTTTTTAAAGTTAGATACCTGCTTGTTTCATTACCCATTAATGCCAGAATGACAACTCTGTTTCTTTACTCCATTGTTTCTCTGGATTTGTGTGGTCATTAGCTATGAATATTGCGTTTGACCTTTTTTGTTTCCTTTCCCTCCTGGTTTCTAAATCCCCCTTAAAATAGTGCTGCTGATTTGACAGAGGGATTTGGGTTGTGATCCTTTGCCAGTGTTCCATTGCTTTGACATTATCTCCAATGCACATAAACATACGCCTTTGAAGATAATGTTCTGGTGCGCTGAAATTTTCCTCAAGTGGAGGAGGGAAGTAGGAGTGTTTTGGAGATAATGTCAGTAGAATAGAGCATTGTTTTATAGTTGCTGAGGCAGTTCTGGTGAATAAAGGGAGCCTCTGATATTTCTTCTCCTTTCTTCTCACATAGGAGATAATAAATTGAAACATTCTGCATTTGATTCCTTGTGCAGTGTCAAGGAATATAAATAGAGCTATAAAGCATAGTCGGCTGAAAAGTAGCTAATCCATGCCGGGGCAGGTGTGGAATTTATAAGGATGTAGGCATGCTTTGGTTGACTTTTATCTGTGAGTATCCAGCCATCTGTCTGACATAGATTACATTCCATACACACACACACACACACACACACACACACACACA